CGTACTCTGAATGCTATTTTAACAGATACGATAGGGGTTGTACAGTTTTGACATTGAATAATTATTGAGACTTGATTGGATTGAAATTGCATTGACATTGTGATTGGTTTCAAGAGTAACCACCCTGGTCAGTATATCGTACCCCCGGTGCTATACCGTCACTTATGTATTGCGGAGGCCCGCGCACAACTGAACAATGAAACGTTGTTTCTCCTAGTGCCGTCCAGATTAGAGCCAAAACCGTAACGACAGTAATGCCCTCACAATGTCAGTTTGCTTACTACACCAATGACAATAAATAATGCACCAAGTAAAGAGGTGAATTTGGAGTATTCTTTCATCAGTTAAGGTTTGACAAAAATTGCATAAGTGACGATATTGCACCGTAGGTGCGACATGTCCATCTAGGGCGCCCTCTATCGATGCCATTATTAGGACATTACTTCATTTTTAAAATAGTTTTAACATCCATATTTTGGTTCTTTTCCCCATAGTCGTATATGCTTTGACTGAGTTGTGTCTATTTGCTCACAGTATAGTCACAAGTTTGACAATACCTCTACATAGCATATACTCTGACTGATTTGAATACATTTTGATAGAAAGAAAACAAAAGAAATTCAAAATTGGATCTTCACACAAAATAAATGTCTGGCACTCAACACAAACAAAGCGACGAGAACACGAAACCTAGTAAAAAAAAAACAATGAGAAAGTCACCCGAAAAGTTTCGTAACACTTTCTTTTCTGAATACAATGACCATAAATCAGATAAAGTTACTCCTTTCTCATATATATCACGGATCCTTGAAAATATCTAAAAGAAAGGAAGGTCCAAATTATACAAAGGACGTCTGGACGAGACCAGGTCGAATAGATAGCAGAGTTCAACTACACAAAATAAATATCTTTAGAAACATTACGTATAGATTTATTGTATAATTAGTTTTCCCTGGTATAAATTGAAAGGGTAAGATGTGTAGATACCAATTTCAAATGAGTAATAGTTTTTTTTTTAAACGTTGCCCCACACTAGGATTTTTCCTGTGTTGTGGGTGCGTTTACAAACATACAATATCACATACACATGACACCCAGACCCGGAACAACAATCTGTAGATCACACAAAGAGTTGTTCCGTGCGGGAATCGAACCCGCGACACGTTGCGCGGCAGCCAGTTGCCCAGAAACCGCGCCAAATAGTTATTGCTGCAACAGTTATTGCTGTATAGTGACCTAATTCGGGAATGTCAGCAGTAGACTCGAATAGCCAGTAGCAGCGCGACAGTCACCGCGTCGCGTGTCGCGGAATGCTGCTCATGAAGCTTGAAACTAGTCGAATTCCTCATCTTGTTCCAGTTACGTGTGTTCGCCGAAAACATAACATATACAAGTCGCAGCGCGACAGTCATCGCGTCGCGGGTCGCGAAATGCTGCTCATGAATATGAGCCTCTAGCATGGCTTGAAACTAGTCGAGTTCCTCGTCAAACAGTTACATGAGTAAGGCGAAAACATAATAATTCATTTAGTATGTCTCATGAAAGTTTTAATTAAAATTTTTAATCTATGAGGTTACGGAAACTTTATTTATTCAATCTTGTAAACAATTATATACAATTAATATTAACTACTAGCTTTTGCCTGCGACTTCGTCCACGTGGAATAGTGACTTCCGGCAGAAAAGTATAGATAGCTGTGCCCGCGACTCCGTCAGCGTGTAACTCCTTGTGTATTAAGTTAATGAATGGAGTAACTTCTCCCGTATTCCCAATATTTCCCTTCACTGCTCTGCTCCTATTGATCGTAGCATAATGAAAAGTATACTATAACCTGCCCAAGAGTATATAGAATAATTGTGCCAAATTTCGTTAAAATCCGTCGAGTAGTTTTTGTTTCCATAACGAACATACAGACAGACAGACAGACAGACAAAAATTTTACTGATTGCATTTTTGGCATCAGTAGCGATCCCTAACTACCCCTTGATAGTTATTTTTTAAATATATTTTATGTACAGAATTGACCTCTCTACAGATTTATTATAAGTATAGATTACTAAATCAAACTTAAAATATAAATATGTATGAATTAATATATTGAATAAATAATGAATTAAATTAATTAATACTAATTTAATAATGAATTCACAATTCCTAGCTTAGCTGTCGAGTAGTGCACGGGACCACTCTGAGAAATTCGTCAGAGAGATAAGCTTCTTGAAATGCATTTTATTTCCAGTATAAAAAGTTTATTGTTCTACAGTTATTCTTGACGATCTAGATTTAATAAGTGGAAATGTTTTCGAATCGTAAACGAATATTGCAAACGGTTCAATTTTTTCACTATTTCTTTTTTTTAATTTGACCCTATCACTGGACGCAAAACTCAATACTTTATAGTCGTTGAAATAAAAGAGAATTGAATAACCTAGAATAAATCGAAGACTTGATGGAGGTTTCCTAAAAGCTAATTATAAAAGAGAACATCTTAGAAAAAAAAAACACCATATTTAACAAATAATTTCACGAAAGAATTCCAAAATTCTTCGAAGAAGAACTTGAAGCATCTTGTTCTTCCGAACACTTCGGCTGTTCGACGTTCCCAAACTTTTCTGTTTCACGAAACATTCCCAAGATTTCTTTTTCAATCCATAAACGTTCTGAAACGGTGAATTTTTCACAGGTGTGCCTGATTTATGGGAGGCATTTTGGGGGAGGCATTTTGAGAATTTATCCTCAAAAGCCTTTGATCTTCCCTTCAGATTTCATTTCGCTATCGAGATAAAGATTTCAAAAGGTGACAATGGTTCTGTTAACTTTTCAGGGTCCCTTCTCAAATTTTGTGCGATACTGTGAGAAAAGTTCGGTCCCAAATATCCTAAATTCGTGGAATTTTGCCGCTCATTGTGTTGTTCTGTTGTTGAAACAAAATGTATTTTGTAACGAGCTTAGAACACTTTGTAAATTCAATGGAATTTTGTCTGGAAGTTCAAGTGAACTCAATTTTGTTATCAGCGCTTCGTGTACATGGGGTATCGTTATCAATTTTGATTTACTTTGGCTGTGTTTCGCGCTTATTGATATCACTGCTGTTTCCTTTGAGAGGCGATATGAGCTATATTTTGTTTGTGTTAAGTGTGAGTTTTGTGGTTTCTGTATTTTAGAATTTGTGTCATATAAAATCAAGTTTATCTTGAGTTAGAAGATATAGAAGATTGAAAATATATGTCAAATTATGATGAGTATTTTGCTGAGTATATTTTTGAAACATTATGTAATACGTATTTTGTCTTAAACCTCTAAGAGCTCTTAACAAGATAGGTGTAACTATTGAAATTGCGTCACAGTCTCAGAGACTGCCTCGTTGGCCGAGTAGTCGCTAGTGCGACTGCGTCGGGCAAAGTATTACTGGGTTTTTAAAAACTTCAGTAGTAGCACGGAATCTAGAAATGTGCCCGGTTTATGGCAATAGGCTTACCCCCTATTACATGGGACTCATAACATAAACAGTGAAAAGTGGGTGTTACATTGTACAGTGGCATTAAGTGCCGAAATGTGCACCTCCGCCTATCCCTTCGGGGATAAAAAGGCGTGATGTTATTTTATGTCTCAGAGATCAAATGAGATATTAAGCAAGACAGAAATAATTTACTACTTCAACAGCACCTAAGATTGTGTTCAGAAAATTGTATCTGTCAACCATAACAAAGCCACAAACCAAACACATCACGAACAAGCAAACAAACAAACAAGAACAAACATATTCTTTAGAAATCTTCTTCCCAAACAATACACCGAAACTTCGGGTCTAAAGTGCATTTAACGAAACTAAACGAATGGACGTCTCAAGTGTTTCCGAAAGTACTCGAGCCCGAACGAAGATGTTTGTTTTATGTTTGAGAACAATTACTTTTTGCGATCCTTTGAACATCTCGTCTAGAGGGGAGAGTGGAATCGAAGAACAACAGGATCAAATTAAGTTATGGGATCTTGGAACGTAATTCGTTGAGTGACTGACGGTTTTTTGGGCGCGGGGTAAGATTAGTTTTATGTATTTTTTTATTGTTCTGTATTTTTGGTGCAGTATTATTATATGTGTTGCTATATTATCTTGAGTTCCAGTCCTAAGTAAAATCTATTTCTCTAAAAAACAGAAATGTTCGAGTCATAAATCGACATTTTTGGTTCCATATTTCGAACAGTCTTGGTGGCTGTTGATACTACGACTGGTTGAGAATTGTGTAGACTTGTTTCGTTGCATCAGATTTAATTTTTTTAGTTCTAGATTTTATCTCCTACATAATGCAAGTGTGTCTATTTTTAATTATTACAGTTTTTAGTCATTTTAAGGAAGTTGAATTTAGGTTATGTTTTCCCATTTGTAAGCACAATCTTGGAAGGAAATTAGTTGTAAAAGATTGTAGAAACCGAAGCTGCGGAGGAATTAACGGATTCAGGGCTCCGGCACGAAGTGCAGGAGTAGGAACGGGGTGGTTTTTAGTCAGTGAGAGTCAGAGAGAAGTCATTGGATGATTTTCCCTCCTCAAATAAAGTTTATTGAAAAGATTCCTAAACATCTGGAAAAGTAAAACTTAAGAAATAGTTTCCTAGGTTCCGTGATATCTTCTTTATCTGTCTTCATCTTATATACGTCTAATTCTTTTTCCTTTATTTTTTAACTTATATAGTTTATAAGTTAATTCTAATATTTATTATCTTATTTCATTTTTATACTTACATGCACTTAATTTTCTATTCAACCAGAATTGTCTTCATTTTAAACTACTCACTCCTTCCCAGAAAAATCCCTGTATAATTCCCTGTGTAAATCTTGTTTCTTGGATGTGTTAACACATCCAAGAAAATATAACGGGACGAACATTTTCCAAACACTCCCTCACTTTACTATTCCAGCTATAACCGTATCGTTACACAGTCTAAAAGTATGCTAAAAGTCAAACAGTTACTTTGAATATTTTAAACAAACGTCTACTGCTTACCTAGTATCGTTTCCTTGCTTCTGGATTCGAATCTGCAAAATAAAAATTGTTTCATTTTAGTATGACGTCATTTAGTGTTGGATATTTCCCGAAGGAGGTAGTAAACGTATGCTAGAGGTAGTTTAAAACATGTTATAATCCATCGTTGGGCGAGTGGTCGCAAGTGCGACTGCCGGACACGGGGTCTCGGGTTTGATCTCCGGGTTGGGCAAAGTATTACTGGCTTTTTGAAAAAAATCTCAGTAGTAGCACGGAGTCCGGAATTGTGCCCGGTATATGGCAATAAGCTCACCCCCTATTACATGGGACTTATAACATAAATAGTAAAAAGTGGGTGTTACATTGTACAGTTCCATTAAATGACTAAGGAGGAGGAATTTGTCTAGCAGTGGACGCCTTTCGGCTGTTGATGATGATGACAAAAAAATTCATTTCACAATAAATATAACCTTCGTACTGAATCTATTTTGACGACAATTGTTACCGTGGAATGTCCCTTGGAAAATACTAATTCAAAAGCCTAAATTCTGCCAGAAATCATTATTCTACAAGGACAAAGTCGCGGGCAACAGCTAGTAAAAAATACGTGTCTAATATTTTTTCATTACCTGACTTACGGACTAATATATTATCCAATTACAGCTGCTTTTGAATAGTTTTAACTAATGGCCATAGCCTGTTTATTTCTATAAAAAACTTAAATAACAACTATTACTTAAATAAAATTAAAACTAAATATTACTAAATTAGATTTTTAATTTCCATACCCTGTCATCATCCCAATTATGCATTACATAAAGAAAAAAAACTTCCCATAATACACTGTTATTATGAAACCCTCTAGTGTATTTTTCTTCCCTAATAGTACTAAGTAGAGACTCGTGTAGTGTGAATGCGGTCTCTAAAATATTATTTGCAGAGTAAAATACAGACGCCAGCAGATCAACCTTCTCCAAACTGCTAATTTTAGATTTTAGACTGTATATACCAAGACAATAAAGTTGAAAATCTAATGAAAAATTGAGACAGAAATGTGTAGTTTGGTCTGCTGGTGGGTGGTTGGTACTATTTGTGCAGGTACCGTAATAAATTCAGACTAAGACTATTGTGTTTTGAGATTTCGTCTGTTTCTAGTCTGTGCGGAGTTTTAATGAAGTTGAAGGTAGCTCTTGTCATACACTATTTAGGTTATTTCAGTTTACAATTTACTCATTTGTCTTTTTGAAATTAGAATCTATAATTTATCTATATAATTCTGCTGTACATGTGTATGTCATTGAACTCCTCCAAAACGGCTGCTCCTCCAAGCGACCTTGATAAATATTGACTTTTTTTTTTTTATGGAATAGGAGGCAAACGAGCATACGGATCACCTGATGGTAAGCGATCAGCGCCGCCCATGGACACCCGCAACACCAGAAGAGTCACAGGTGCGTTGCCGGCCCTTTAAAAAGGAGTACGCTCTTCTCTTGAAGGTTTGAAGGTCGTATCGGTTCGGAAATACCGCCGACGACAGATCATTCCACAGTTTTGCTGTGCGAGGCAGGAAGCTACGTGAGCTGACATAAATAAAATTACAGTTTTTGTCCTCCAAAGGACCGGGAATGAGTCCAAAATGAGATTTATTATTTAGGGTCGATTATACAATGTCAAATAATTTTAACCGTGGAATAACTTTGAATATTTGACAATCTTTCCATACTGTCAATTGTCAAATGTCAATTTTATTCCACATTAAAAAATTAACTGACTATTTTTGGACACTCTGTTGCCGATAAAAAAAAAATACTGACGATTCGAAAATCGGTTCTAAGAGTTTAAAACATTGAATTGTAAAGAAACCACTAATTAGTCTTACTATAAATACAACTAAAAATTCAACACTGGTCAAGGCCTAAAGGGCCGAAACAAAACAACGACTCAACTCAGAACTGTTCAAAACTTAACCCTTTAACACTACATTCAAACTAATCTTGTACATCCCTAATCAACACCTAACATGTTATCAAGATTAACCAAATGTTCCCTGAAGCCCATTGAAACATTTCAAAGACCTTCCAGTAAACAATCGCACATCAAGTTACTACTCTCAATTAAATAGAAATATCAACTGTGTTATGTTGATTATACGGTCTAAAATAGATTGAAGGTGTTTGCTCGGTTGGAGTATGTTGTTCTGCTGTTTGAACATGCGAATTCCCTTAATTGATGAGAGGACATTTTAGGGAGGTGATCGCTTGGCCTCGAGTCCCTCATTATTAATTGTTTTGAACATCTTTTGTTGTAGATAAATGATAAAGGACTGCGTTTTTTTTGGGTACTGGTGTTAATTCATGTAGAACGTTCGTTTGGACACTGTCATACATAACATCCCGCCTTTTATCCCGGAAGGGGTAGGCAGAGTTGTACATTACGGCACTTAATGCCACTGTACAATGTAATACTCACATTTCACTATTTATGTAATTATTATCCCATTTTATAGGAGGTGAGACTATTGCCATATACCGGGTACAATTCCAGTCTCCGTGCTACTACTGAGAATTTTTATAAACCCAGTAATACTTTGCCCGACCCGGGAACCGAATCCGAAACCCCTTGCATTGCCGCACTTGTAATAACTCAACCAGCGAGACAGTGAGTACAGATACAGACAGTGTCATATATCAAGTTTCTTTGGGATAGGAGACAAATTGCCTGAAGGTAAGCGATGCCCATTGATAGTCGCAACTCTAGAGGAGGTCACTATTACATTATTGGTTTTTAAAAAAAAGAAGTTTTCTAAAGATATAATTGATTTTCGGTCACCGTTGTAAGCGAATACTAGAGACAGACGCTTAGCCCACTTTTAACAATTAAGTGCAGTAAGAAAAATTACAGATTTACGTATTAATTCGAGACTTTGTACAGGCTGCCACGTTGGCCGAATGGTCGCAAGTGCGCAGGTGTCTCGGGTTCGATTCCCGGGTCGGGCAAAGCATTACTGGGTTTTTAAAAATTCTCAGTAGTAGCACGGAGTCTGGAATCGTGCGCGGTATATGGCAATAGGCTCACTCCCTATTACATGGGACTCATAACATAAATAGTGAAAAGTGGTTGTTACATTGTACAGTGGCATTAAGTGCCGTAACGTGCACCTCTGCCTACTCCTTCGGGGATAAAAGGCGGAACATCAAAAATACCCAGTCCCTTATCTAAACCAAGAATTGAATTGAATTTTAAAATCAAATTTAAAATTTGTTCCTTCAAAGATAACAATGACAAAATTATTACGATCACATTTATTTTATTCCAAGTCTCTTCGAAAAGACATATTCTATATAAATAAATAAAAAGATTTATTGCAGCTTGGAAAGCAAGATGTATAGAGCATTGCATTCAAGAATACAGATATTAAAATGGAAACAAACACTGTCTTCTACTGACAGAATTTATATGTTTTCTTTAAAAGTATGAACCTTAGAGACTGATTGTTACACCGAAGTGTCTCGTTGTGTGGAAGATATCATATTGTAATATATTTATGTCGCAGAATCAACAAAGATGCACAACTATCGAGTATCGTTATTTTAGAACAACGCCATCTGTTATCATTTGTCGGAAACGTCAAGCAGTGTGCTTGGATGATGGTCGGTACGGGGCGTGGCATGTTGGCATTTGAAAGGCGTCACTTTTGAGTTGGACACGAGGGTGAGCGGTTGTTCTGCCAGCTCGTACCGAACTTACCGCGTTTTCCGAAGTACCCCCAATGGGTGCATTTTCTCCGACATTTATTTATTTATTTATTTAAGCTTCATGCACAAAGTGTACATAAGGTGGACTTAATGCCGCAGGATAATAATATATTATTAATATATTCGTAGTAAAATCAAAACTGAATTGAATTAAATTTTCAGTGTAAGAGAGCCATGCTTCGGCACGAAGGGGCTGGCTCGTCCAGAGAGATACCACGGCCTCATAGAAAACTGACGTGAAGTAAAGCTTGCGTTGTGTTTCGTCGTGTGAATGAGGTTACCGGAGGCCCAATTATCCATCTCTCCAATCCCTGAATCCCTAACGATCCTTAAACGCCTAATCCACTGAAGGCCGGTAACGCACTTTTAACGCCTCTAGTGTTCCAGGTGTCCATGTGCGACGCCGATTGCTTACTATCAGGTGATCCGTCTGCTCGTTTACCGGCTTATACCATAAAAAAATTAATATTTATATTGAAGAATACTTGGGCCGTGATCTACAGTCGGTATTAAAACGATAAATGTGGTTTCTAGAGTTTTTTGTTTGTTTGTTTGTATGTATGTCTGGGATATACTCAGAAAGTACTGTAAGGACTTTGAATTTTTCATTAATAATACTAACAGGTTATGACCCGATGTGTTAGTATTATTATATTAGCAGCTGTTACCCGCGACTTCGTTCGCGTGAAATTATTCTTTTTAATTTATACTTTTTTGACGTGACAACGTGTTGATTGGCGACGCGTATTTATTGAGAGCTAGTATGAAACGGAACGTTTATTGTCTACTCAAGATAGCGACTGCGGTTTGTCTGTCAGTGTCATTAAAATGAATTAATAAAACGAAATAATCTCCGTAATCGGAATGTTAAATATAAAAAAAATGTAATTTGAATTTCGCGCCTCATGAGCCAACTCACGCTTGGCTGCTTGTAACTTTTTTTCTATCTCCCGCCGTTTTCTAATGTCTGTAAAACATCATAACGAGTACCGGTATAATAAAGATTTATTTACGCCTTTAATTTAACCCGGAATTTTAGGGATCTGTGTATGTTGTCGACTCGAAATCGATATGTTTTTATGTTTTTTTAATTCAAGTAATGTTTCGATCGAGTCTACCGTACCCCTTGACGAAATTATTAATATAGGTTATAGCCTATAATGTTGATATAGGCTATAATAATATTAATACCACCTACAGACGAGGAGCTGTATAGAACTATCCAAAGTCACTTTAGACGAAGTCGCGGTAGTACGTACTTTATAAAAACTTACTTTTGTTTACAATTTACAGAGACTTGCAATTGTTTCTCTTTTATTTGTTTGCAGTGCAATGTCTCTTAATCTAGAGCATACATTCGGATTTAATGTCTAGATTTTGGTCCCACGAGTGCTCTAAAATGAGATTTGAGAACTGAAAGTATGCCAACGGGAGCCATTATGTAGTCTCTGCCTTATGTCTGTCTAACTATATAATGTAAAGCTATATGAGTCTGATGCATACAATGCACTAGCTCTTAGCCACGGTTTTACTCAGATGTTATTTTACTAAAGTAGTCTTTTTGAGGTGTAAATAAAAATATTTTTATCTTTATCATTACTAAATTATTCTAAAAGCTGAGTATATCGTAAAACTGCGATCTTACAGCTCAAATAAAGGCGGTTGCGTCTTCTATAATAAACTTCCAGCGGCTTTGCAATCAATTATTATGTTTCAAGCTTACTCTCGTAATTGTTTGACGAGGAACTCGACTAGTTTCAAGCCATTTTAGAGGCTCATATATTCATGAGCAGTATTCCCCAACACATGATGCGTCGACTGTCGCGCTGCTGATGATCTGATAATGACTCTGCGATCATTTTAGATCATCTATCTACCCTGTAAGTGGACTCATAACCATACTTGATAGTAGGACCGGAGGCCTAATTACTCCCCCCCCCCTTCTTCTCTCCCCAATCCTCAAATTCCCAATTCCAAGTAACGCACTTGTAACGCCTCGTGTGTTTCATGTGTCCATGGGCGGCGCCGATAGCTTACCATCAGGTGATCCGTCGACTCGTTTACCGGTTTATCCCATAAAAAAAGTTCGGCGTAAAAATTTGTTTATTCCAAAAAATTACACATTATACAATTTAAAAATATTACACTATGATTACAGTACGGTGTAAATGCTGCCTTATACAGATCTTGTAAGTTGGCTTCCACTGAAGCGAAAGGCAAACGTATTGGGACAGTAAACATGTCCGTGCTCTAGACTCTAGAATTCGATTCTATCGAATATTCGCTTCAAAATCGATCTGTTTAATCGTACTGGATTTTATCGGATAGGTCAGGGTTGGTACTGAGGTATGAAGTTTAAAAAAAATATATTTTCGCAATTGAAAAATTATTGTATTAGTATTTGTTCTATTGGCATGACAGCCAGACAGCCCTGGTCCTCACCAGGGCTCTGGCTCGAAGAGCAGGAGTAGGAACGAGGTGGTTTTTAGTCAGTAAGAGTCTGACACTACCTCTGGCCTCAACCGGGCGGGAAAAGTCGTTGAATGATATTCTCCAATTAAAAAATAATAATAAAAGGGTTAAACACAATCTTTAAATGTTTAGTCAATAGTCATCATTGTCTTTAACAAAATATGATTATTGAGTACTAGCTGTTGCCCGCGACTACGCCCGCGTAGAATATGATTTCTGTTTTATCCCATGAGGGCATTTATTAAGTTTAAATAATATTTAAAAAGTGTGGGAGAGCCATGGTTTGGCATGAATGGGCCGGCTCGATCGGAGTGATACCACGGCCTCACAGAAGACTGACATGAAACAACTTTCTGTTGTGTTTCGTCGTGTGAGTGAGGTTACCGGATGCCCAATTCCCCCCCCCCATTTCCCCAATCCCTGAATCCCCAACAATCCTCAAATTCCTAATCTCAAAAGGCCGGTAACGCACGCAGGTGTACATGGGCGACGCCGATTGCTTACCGTCAGGTGATCCGTCTGTTCGTTTACCGACTTAATTAAACAAAAAAAAAAACAAATTTAGACGCAACTTTGTAACCTAAAAACACAGGGTGATCGTGAAACATGCCTTTACTGCGCGTATACGCGCTGTAGTCGCTCTTAGTCTTTGTGTGATCCACAAATTGTTGTTTTGCGTCTGGGTGTCATGTGTATGTGAACTTGTATGTTTGTAAACGCACCCACGACACGGGGGAAAATCATCGAGTGCCAAAGTTAAAAAGAAAATAGGTACCATAACATCATAACAACACGCCTTTTTATCCCCGAAGGGGTAGGCAGAGGTGCACATTGCCACCGTGCAATGTAACACCCACTTTTCACTATTTATGTTATGAGTCCCATGTAATAGGGGGTGAATCTATTGCCATATACCGCGCATAATTCCAGACTCCGTGCTACTACTGAGATTTTTTTAAAAACCCAGTAATACTTTGCCCGATCCGGGAATCGAACCCTATTTTTTTTTTTAAGGGGGCAAAATCATCGAATGACTGCTCCCGCCTGGGTGAGGCGGAAGGGAGTGTCAGACTCTTACTGACTAAAAACCACCCCGTTCCTTCTCCTGCACGTCGAGCCGGAGCCCCGGTTACCCGTTAGGTTCTCCGCGACAATCGAACCCTATACCCCTTGCCCGGCAGTCGCACTTGCGACCACTCGGCCAACGAGGCAGTCAAAATAGGTCTCATAAACCAAAAAATCCACACAGGAACCTACTTAATATTCCACCGAAATAGAACATCCACTAAAAATACATACACTCTGCTATGTCACCTGACTTGAGCACTTAGCTCGCATCAGATATTCTGTGAAGTTTCCTAAATGCATATTGACAATTCCATCACTATCTCACTACCTCACTACATCACTATGTCACTACGTCACTACCGCACTTCTGGCTTTTACAGTCGAATCTAAGAAGCACTCTATTGCATTGGTAGAAGCGATATGTAATATGTAGAGGTACAGTGAGTTCTGAATTGTGTCGATTTGAGCTGTAGAAGGAATAAAAATACGATTTAACTCGTCGAGTACCGGTTTTGTAGACACAATTATAGAACAATAGGTTGCGGTCGCCGGTGACCGCTTGGTGTTTGACAGTTTAATTCTAATTTTTGTGTCTGTGTGATTGACTGTTCTGTTAGTCGGGTTGTCATAAGAGTAGCTGCTGAGTAAGAGGTATTGGGTTTTATAAATTGACAAACCAAAGAATAATAATAAAATAAGTATTGTCACGTTTAAATCCCTGAAGGGGTAGGCCAAGGTGCACATTACGGCACATAATGCCACTGTATAATGTAACACCCACTTTTCGCTATTTATGTTATGAGTCCCATGTAATAAGGGGTGAGCCTATTGCTATATACCGGGACAATAGGCATGGCGACTATTTTTTAATTTTTTGTCCGTCTTTTAGATATTTTAAAAATCTTCGATACGTATTTTTTCTTTTTTCTCGTATCCAAAAAAACATGTAGATATTTTGAGTTAAAATGATGCGTGACGTCACACTTAGGTACGATTGCTCCGTAAGTGTGACGTCAACACCCCCCACTCCCTAACTTTAATGCGAAATAACAACGTATTCTTCTGTTAATTTGATAAAACAAAAAATACGTGTCTGATATTTTCGTGCGATCTTAATGACGGACTAATTACTTTTTTGATTTTTTTACCCTGTCGACACGCCTATTGTAGACTCCGTGCAACTACTGAGACCTTTTTACAAAACTTATCAATACTTTGCCCGACCCGGGAATCGAACTGGAGACTGCTTGCCCGCCAGTCATACTTGCTCACTGTCACACTACTTGACCAAAGAGGCAGTCAGTGAGAGATAAAAGTATGAACAACACTGTTGATAAACTTACGTATCTAGATGTTGTATTGGAAACCTTACAGCATCTTCATACATAGTATCTGAAACAATAAAAATAATAATTAAAACATGATATAGTTAGAGGTGTCCGTTATTTATTTATTTATTTATTTAACACTTTATGTACAACTGTATACAGTGGCGGACTTAATGCCGGATGGCATTCTCTACCAGCCAACCATAGGGTGATGCAGAGAAGTGTTACAGTAGGTTTTAAAAGAAGTTTGCATCTATCGAAAAAAAAAACGAGGGTGATAAATGTACGTATATATAAAGGTATCCCAGTACATAAACTACATACCAATATTACATACTAATATGAAACATAAGCGTTATATGATATACCAGAAACAAACAGCCGTTGATAAAATAAAGCACACGCAGCCTGTTATTTATTTTTACTGCGCTCTGCTATAAGCGCTAAATGCCATCTATTACGTTTTGGCAGAAACTTCTACGTCACCAAATGAAAATATCAACAGAACTATTTTGTTTCTCAAAGCAACAAGAGATGTCGTTGTTTTGTCCTAACATTTATTATCGATTTTAATGGTATTGACATAAGGTTGTACATTGTATATTTATCGGCAACGAATCGCGCAGATCGTTAATTTCGTTCTTTCATGCTAACATTGACTATCGACTTACAGTGTATAACTATAAGATGATATAAGACGGTATATTCATTGGCAAATCATTACATAGTATAAAACAAGTCGCTATCCGCCGTCTGTCTGTCCCTATGTATGCTTAGATCTTTAAAACTACGCAACGGATTTTGATGCGGTTTTTTTTAATAGATAGACTGATTCTTAAGGAAGGTTTATAATGTATAATACAAGCATATTGCACCCGTCCGAAGCCGGGGCGGGACGCTAGTAGTTTCATAAAATAAGTTACTCTTCATGTCTAATTAATAGTTAAACTGACAAAATTACATTTCATACAAAACAAGAATAAGATAATTGTATTTTGGTACTAATAACAGTGGCAAACAGTAATTTGTTTACATACGACAGCAAAAAGTACCTTTTATTATCTTTTGGAACATCAAACGAACTGCCAAATATTCTTTGTGATGTATTTGAACAATTATATTTATTTTCTAAACAAACAAATCTTATTTAAGGCCTCAAAGAGAAAGGGAAAGGGAATAAGAATTGGGCCTTTGTAGTTGATTTACACTTTTTTCGATAAACAAAGTACCTTAGTGATAAAATAGATTCTCACCTTTGTTCGGTTGTAATAGGGTTCAAAACACCTTTTTATATTTTAACTGACTTATAATAGGAGGTGGTTGTTCAATAGGGTAGATGCCTAATTTTTATTTTAATGTCCGTCTGGTAGATTATTTTAAATCATTAGACACGTATTTTTTATTTTTTTACAGAAACGAATACTTTCGATGATATATTGATTTGAAATATCGTGTGACGTCACTTCTACATAGAAGGCGCTACAGAACGTTATTTCTACGTATAAAATGACGTTTTAGCCCCCACTTCTAAATTTTGATTCGTTTTATTTAAGTATTGGTTTATTATAAGACAAAATAAACAAAATACGTGTCTAATATTTTTATACTGCACGGTTGGTGCGGTGGCTGGGCAACCGGCTGCCGTGCAACGTGTCGCGGGTTCGATTCCCGCACGGAACAACACTTTGTGTGATCCACAAATTGCTGTTTCGGGTCTGGGTGTCATTGTGTATGTGAACTTGTATGTTTGTAAACGCACCCACGACACAGGATAAAATCCTAGTGTGGTGCAACGTTAAAAAAAAAACTAATTAGATTTTTAATTTTCAATACTCAGTCATCATCCCAATTCTGCCGTATGAGAATGTGTATTTTTTAATCTTGTTAATAAAACTGTGTGGTTTAGATTATATATCATTGTATATTCATAAAACATCAAAATATGACACACAAAGTCACTCGAGTTTGTTAAAGCATACTACATTGCTTTAGGGCTTGTACACAAAACTGCCATGCGACGTCGCATCGCAAACATGTGCGAGTACGTATCGTAAGAACTTGCGAATTGATTCGCATGGCGTATCAAAATCTTATCGTCGCAAAATCTTCGTTGTTTCTTTGTCCTGTATCTCCTAAGCAATAACAGAAGTGCACACTTCTTATTATGGCTTACGTCACGACCTAGTTTTCAATTTAAAATGCGTTTAGTACGATTGACGGTCGTCGAAGGAATGGTCACCATGGGAGACGCCTTGTCGCACAATATCGCATCGCAGCAAATCACATCGTAATTTTTTGCATTGCGAATTTGCATCGTATCGAAGTTTAGTATACACACAGCCACACATCAATCTATACAAAACCAGTTTATCCTGGTGTCGCGTCGCATCATCTTTCCGTACATTTAACGTTCCGTTTATACTGGTTATGTAAAGCTTGATGTGTAGCCGTATTTACAAGCCCTTACTCCTCGGTATGTTGGAGATACAGATAGTCAAAGAGACGCCAGTGAATGATCATGGTAGTGATCCGGATAAATGTTAAGAATGGAAACCTATTCAAGGATCAACCTTTGTCGGATTTTGACCTTTAAGGTACTGTTACACATGCGCTCAAATATCTGACTAAAACGCGTTCTATTGAGCATGATCAAAAATAAGTGTGGCAGAGCTATGCTTCGGCACGAATGGGCCGGCTCGACCGGAGTGATACCACGGCCTCACAGAAAACCGACGTGACACACAAAGCTTGAGTTGTGTTGCGTCGTGTGAGTGAGATTACCGGAGACCCAATTAACCCCCCTCCTTCTTTAATTTCTCCAAACCCTGAAGCCCCCTCGAGCGTACGGCGCATCGTGTTCTGCGCGTGCCTCAAAGAGCCATCAGACCACCACGGATGGGGCCCAATAGGGCTGATGCCGATACGGAGCCGCGGAGAACCTAATGGGTTACCGGGGCTCCGGCTCAAAGTGCAGGAGTAGACACAAGGTGGTTTTTAGTCAGTAAGAGTCTGACACTCCCTCTCGCCACACCCAGGCGAGAGAAGTAATTCGATGATTTTCCCCCCTCAAAAAAAGTGTTACGGCTTGAAGTGCAGGACTAGGAATTCGGTGGTTTTTAGTCAGTAAGAGTCTGACTCCCCTCCTGCCTCCCTCGCCCTCGCCTCCCAGGCGGGAGAAGTTATTAAAAAAAACCATAATGCACCCTTGTTTCATATTTCACTCGATCTTTTCTGCCATTTTGAAGGAGTATGTAGCAAACACATCAACTTTCGCATATATAATACCAGCAGGTCTAGCCTTTACATGCGTTTTTGCTTACGTAAATTATGTAGCTTATGTCCTCAGCCGTATTCTCAACGAGGTACATAAAAATTAAAAAAATGGCTGAGGAAGTAAAACGTAAAGAAATGACAACGTGACGAACAAAGAAACTAATTTCCGATTTTGCACCGTTAGTTTGTAGTCTTGATACTACAGTTCTTGAACATATTAGAAGAAAACGCAGCTTGAATAATACAGTCCAATGGAAGATCTTATCGCATAAAACAAAAGCGCAACGTAAGAAAATTGTCACAAAAATTCCTTAGACAATGTGACTTCTAAGAAAAGAACTCTTGAACTCTTAGAATTCCCATGGGGACGGCAAAAACGGGAATCACGCGAATGAAGTTGTAGGTAATCGCTGGTGTGTGGTGTAAGGAAACAAGGAAAGGCGGATGGCAAAATAAACTTGACAATATTCAATTTGAATTTGTTGTAGATTCGTTGCGATTGTATCAAAAGGACTGAGACACATATGACGATTAACGCTGAAATACTCAAACGACACTTAATTTTAAGTCAGGTTTAAGTCTAATTCTGTCAATGTACATGTTAAAATTGAGGAGTCTTTCAGTATTCGGGCGTATATCTTATTAGTAGATGCTTTGCAAAAATATTGACATAATGTTCTAGATGAACCGTCATCGAGACAATCCAGCAGCTGTATCAAAATATATGGAGTAAAACCAAACCTCTGTAAAACCAAATTATATGGAGTTGACGTAAATTTTGACACTTGTCAGTGTCATCCCCATATATTTAGTTTTCTACTCTCTCGTTAGACAAGCGCTAAAGTGGCGTTTGGCTAAAATCATCGTCTACATAAGTAGACGAGAGCTATTAGCCAACTCATTGCTAGCTAGTGCGTAGCGAAACTAGTAGAGCTTATCTATAACTCTAAATATAATCATAAAAAACTAGTACACAATAAGATTGACGACAACTTTTATAGTTCGCAAAATCTATTATATTGTCAATCAATCACTCACAAACACCAAGTAAAGACAGATATAATTTTACAACAATAAATACGTCAGCCCACTTGACATCTGTCACATTACATTCTCTACTGACAGGGGATAACCCGTCTGTCAAACTTAACTGATATATCGGACCCTGGAATTACTAGGATTATATTGTCAATATTGTACGCCGATATGTTTTATTGCTGTCCCGGATTCGTACTAAGTACGTCTGATTAATGCCCCTGGGTATTTTGGCGAGAAAATACTTTTTTCGTGTGTTTCGTGTTGGTCACAATTGAGTTAGGTTAGGTTACGTCAATTTGTGGTGTTATTTTATTTTCCGTTGATTTATTGTTGTGCTTATTGGAGTATTTTTGGCTGATGCTAGCTTTTGGTGTGTCATTTTGTGTGGTTTTAATCTTGACATATACTTGATCAATAATAATTAATTCTACGTTAAACTAAAGCTTCATCGGTTTCATCGCAGAAAGATCTTTTAATTTTTTTAAGGGTGATAATCATCGAATGACTGCTACCGCTTGGGTGAGGCGGGAGGGAGTGTCAGACTTTTACTGACTAAAAGCCACCCCGTTCCTTCTCCTGCACGTCGAGCCGGAGCCCCGGTTACCCGTTAGGTTCTTGCAGAAAGGTCTTAAGGTCTCACTAACCGAAATCAAATGGAATTAGCTTAGTGAAACAAATAAAACTAATTTTCCTACATAACAAATTCTAATTACTCGTACCTTGTCCAGAAACTTGTATTTTAAGTATTTATGA